GGGAGGTGGTTGAGTCACCATCCCTGGATGTGTTTAAGAGACGTTTAGATGTGGTGTTGGGGGATATGGTGTAGGGGAGAACTTTGTAGAGTAGGGTAGATGGTTGGACTTGATGATCCCAAGGGTCTCTTCTGACCTAGACAATTCTATGATTCTATAAAAACCAGAATACACATATCTGGAAAAGGCAAAAAGTAAGGGTAGCAATCAAATGAAGCTAAACCAATCGTCTCCATTCCAGTTTGGTGTTGACCTTACAAATACCAAGAGCTCGGGGCCTCCGTGTAGCTGTCTCAGAGTGCCAGAGCTTCTTAACCTCGGCTTACATGTCGAACTGTGGAATCTTTAGGAAAAATATCCTGTCTGCAAAATCTCCATATCAATTCAATCTCTGCTGTTAGGTTTTAGTAAGACCATTTGTAACTTGTTCCTCATTTCTCAATCCACTTTATTCAGATTTCATTACCAAGCTACCAGGTGGTGGGTTATTCAAGAATTTTCACTCCTTCTTCTCTTCAAAGAGAAAAAAACCCTGTTGTGTTGTTGTTTTTTGTTGGTTTTTTTTTAATCAAAAAGGAGAAAATCTTTCAGTGTTGTCTTCAGGCTGATTCATCCCTTGTCACTTTTACAAGCTGCATATAAAGCGTCCCAAAGACTTGGGTGATAGGGTTCCACTGCTAACATGGGTTTCCTTGATTAAAACAGTTGATATTTCTGTGACTGAAACTCACTGGTAAAATGAAAATAGTAATATTGTCCTGTATATTAAGAAGGTTCAACAACAAGTTCATCTAGGACTTTGTTACTACAGAAAAGCTCTTACATTAATTAAAAAGAACAAACACGTTAGCCAGAAGTAATGAAGCAGATTCCCAGTACGGCTGATTTCTCTGCAGTGTGCTGGTGAAGATGCTCTGTAAAACTACTGAGTATTAAAAACCTGTGCTACCCTGACTGCTTTGCCACTTTAAGACTATTGTCAATTTGAAAGTTGTTTTAATGTTCCTCAGAGCACATCTGAATAGCCCTATAGAGAAACCCAAGAAAGCTTGCTTTTAGCAGCGTTCAAAACCAAGGAAAACGTACAGTACAGAGAGAAAGGATGAGACTGTTTCAAATGTATCCAACATTTTTATGATACTGCTACTGCATTCCTGGAAACATGATTCTCCCTCTCACATCTGCCATTATACATCCTCACGTATGCGGCTCAACTTTACTACCTTCAGAACCTATTTTATAAAGAACCGTTAATAAATATTTTTTATTGAATTCTGCATTTATAATTGCATTATAAGTTGGGCAGCTATGACTGCGCAAAAAGATAAAGCTGAACTGAAAGAACATCATACTTGCAAGGAACAGAAATATTTCTGAACAAGCAAAAAAATATTCTGCTGATGTTTGCATATTTTACAGTTTAGGAAAGATAAAAACAAACTTCACCTATTTAAATTAACAATAAAGCATTATTAAAAATATAGTGAAAATCATTATGGAAAAACAAAACCAATACTGATATGCAATAGAAAAATAAAGTTTCTATAAAATGATTAAACTTGAAAGTAAATTCCTATAAAGAACAAAGGGGAAAAGCATTGCTTGCCCAGAATATTTGATAATATAAACCTCAATGAATATGAAAGCAGCTGCAGGCTATACTGTCTGCGGAATATGGATATCAGCAGAGATTAACCTGTTGCCAAGTATGCAGATTATAAAATAGAAGGGGAAAATTCTGTCACTAAAGCAACATAAAATTCTGACCATTGAGAAGCTTGCACCAGCTCACTGGGTTCAGCTACATGACTAGAAGCCTACTGAACATGCAAACCCATAAACTACTGCTGGAATGTAACAGTTTGGTGAAATAAGAACAGCCGCTGGGAAGAAAATATGAAGAACAAATGTTCTCAAACTACAAATGTCTTCAAACTTTATAACACTTCTCAACATGAAATAAAAATCAAAGGCTGCTACTAATAAACTTAATTGAGGCCCAACAACAATCCAAGAGAACCTATTTATGTCTCTAAGAAAAAGAATTAAAACAAACCCTAGCAGAAAAGCGTGATTATTCTTTTAACCACTAGCAATATACATTTGGTCATCTCGGAACCACATCCTTACATTTAAACAGAGAAATCCCCTTGGACCTCACCCAGAAATCCAAACTGAAAAGAGGCAATGCATGAACCTGTCTCACCTAAAATATTTTAAAAGGATGCTGATGTAAAAAGGTGTATTTATTTAAATTTAATTATATAATTCTAAAGAACAAGGGAACAAAAGTTTGCAACTATGTTGTGTGAATTTAAACCCAAATATATTCCTGAAAGTAGAAAGTTAATTTCTCAAATTCAGAGAAATTACACTAAGAGGAAATACTATAATTTAAATTCACCTGTAAGGGTCCAGATTGCTACAAAGCACTTACGCATGCTTTTGTTCATTTTCATTCATTAAAACAAGTGCTTAAGTATCTGTTTAAATTATCTATATTCTTCACTGAATTTAGTCTAATCTTACAGAACAGAAATCTTACAGTCAACAAATGCTGTTTATTTCTAAATGTATTTACAAGTACTTTTTGTATTCATATTACTGACAAAAGCAAGTTTGGCACCATAGTCATTATCTAGGTTTGTACGAATACAATATTTTTAGTAGATATTTCTGGATTTTTCTTTCCCCCCAAATATTAGGATTTTTTTTTATATTGGCTCATATGCTGAGTATTTCTATTGTTACACAGGAACTGCACAAACACAGAGCAGACGACTTACTCTGCTTGCTTCTGGACTGATTCCCAGCTTGCACATTTAGACAGGGTTAATAAAAATTTAGATTATGTCTGGATTTTTAAGACA